GGGCTTATCAGGGTGCCTCCTGTAAAAGTCAGCAATAAGCTCAGGGTCCTCAATAAACAAACTCGGAATCCAGGACCGCTCCTCAGGCCTGTACCCCTCCCAGTCCAGAAACAAGTGCAGCCCGCGGCTTTGGTTGCATGCTTCTCATTCTGCTTTCTTAGACCGTATTTGGTTTTGCCCTCGTACCGAAGATAACCGCTGCTTCCATTGTTAGAGCAGAGAGTAAAGAAATGATCTGGAGCTGCACAGATTATACCCAAATTTGTATTCTGTGACATGTTCAGGTCCTCATTTTATTTCAGGTAGGTTAGCCTTTCTTTGAAGGGCCCCATCACCCGCAGCGCTGCAGGGTTTAGTGGCGACAAGTGCATGGCAGAATAGGACCTCTGAGCAACTGCTGATTAGTGTGTGTGGTTCAGCGGACAAAACTTATCAGTCATAGCGAAAATGAAATGCTGTTTGGCTAGTGAGCAGGTTTCATTTCCCACCCCGGAGTAAAAGCCAGCAGCAGGCAGACTGCAGGATTAGTATTCAGCTGGCTGTGGACAACAGAACCAGTGTGCTGGTGTTTGCCCTGTGGCTGTTGTCTTGCTGTCAGGTTAGCCAATGACACGTCAGAGCTCACCTCTCAGGCCTCAGCAGCCGATGGCTATAATACACTTCGCCTGGCTCTTTTTCCGCTTTCCACTCTGCCACTTAAAATAGACGGCATCCATCTTTTTTTTTTTTTTACCTGAGACACTCAAGAGCTTTGCACACAGTATTCTTTTTTGCCAGCGTTTTAGAGTCTTCTGTTATGTCATCAAACTTTGGACTGCCTTATTATGGACTGAGCAACTAAACTTTTTTAAATTCAAGCTAGAAGTGAGAAAATTCAACATTTCTAAATGGAACAACATTGAAATATGCTCACGATGTTCTCATTTTAGAATGCATTTGAAGGTAAAACTGCGATATAAGTAATCTTTTACTCTAGAATAAATGTCTGTCTGATATTTTTGCCTGAAATGAATCTTGTTTAAAGTAGGAAAAGCATTAATAGCGTCCAGAAAATGTGAATAATGGCATGCTGACACTCTTTCTAAACATCGGGTGCTGTGAAAAAGTGTTTTCCCTCTTCTTGATTTCTTAGTTTGTTGCACATTTTTCATAAAAAATTTTCAGATCATCAAGCAAATTTTAAGTACTAGTACTGGACATTCACTAACATGGTATCAAATATCATAAGAATCCATACCAAATGATCTTTTTAAAACATTTTATTTTATGTTTTTGGAGCTGTAGTTTATAGTCTGTTCCATAAATCAGTGTCAGTGTCAGAACAATACTTTCTGCTGTTTTTAAAATTCAACTTAATTACAACTGAATACGATGAGTTTGATTAAACTGGTGATTTTAACCTGAATATTTGGTAAAATGTTGTTAATTAGTTTCGGGTCTTGTTTTAAAGTGACTTTTTGCTCATCGCACTAATTAAATTCAAACGGTTTTGTTTTCAGGAAACTGAAATAATCATTTAATGTGTTTGGAGAGTCAGTATCTTTTCCTTCGTAAACTTTCAAACTTTGATTCAGTCACTTTTCACTACACGTTAGATATCTGAGGAAACTGGATAAAAGAAATCGTACTGGTGAGTTCCTGCTACAAAGTTGATTTTGATCTTTTCCCCATTAGGTATTTTTCAGTAGAGGGAACCTCCCTTGAACATGCCATCAGAGTGATTCTCTTTAACCTGCTTAACCTGGCTAGCTCTGTGCTCTTAAAAAGCATGAAAATAACCGAGACAGATCTCACAGGAAGTAGCAATCTGCTGATTTGAATTAATCTCGACACAAGAAACAGTAATGTTAATGCAACTGTGTTGTTAGGGCAACATAAACTTCCTTGTACGTAATGTGTATGTGTGCACTGTTGAACCTGAAGGGTGCAGTAATGTAAATTTGTATCTGTAGCTTAGTAGGGTTAAGTTTACCCCACTATCAGTTGTCTGATGTTTTGTTTTGTTTTGTTTTTCATGTGTTCGGTACTTTGTGTCATTTTGTTAAGGGTATTGCTGGAGTCTGCTACACAAAGGCAAACAGATGCTCCGTTTAGATCACCATCTTCTGACTGTACAGGAATTCGCATAAATATAACCCCCAAAATCCGTAATCCGTTGGCTCAGAGTTGCTTTTATTGAGACGTTAGTGAAGGTGAAGTGCGATTGTCACAGGTGGCTTTGGCGAGGCAGCATCTGCTGGTGAATGCTCTTTTCTATTTTCATTGAAAGTGAGAGATGCTGGTGTGACGTATGGGTTGACGTGGGAGCTGAAGCTTGACTAACTTTCCCAGCTTCCCTTGCAGAGGTTGAGATCAAATGAAGCACATTTCTCTGTGTCTGTCTCCGTCTGCTTCTCTTAGTGTTCGTCTCTCCGGTGTTACTTTCGATTCCTTCAGTCTTTGTCTCTTGCTCCATTTACTCCTCCTTAACTCTAAACTTTGTCCGTTGTTTAGACTTCAGCTTACACTTTTCAATCTGTCTGTGTTTCACGTTGTCTTTCACCATCACTGTCCATTTTCTTCATCATTGTCTTTCCTTCTCTTCTTGTCCTTTGTTTCTCTCTCCTTTTCCCCTCCCACCCTGCTGAGCAGGGAAGCCTTTGATGTGAAGCCGATATCTATTCATGCAAGTCATTCATCAGCACCGTGTTGCTTTTAAAGCAATGAGCAGGAAGCCAGATCAATAAGATGGCTGAACGGATGGATCTCTTAAGGGGCTTCTTCAGCCCAGAAAGATAAGGGAATCTTTTTTTTTTTCTTTTTTTAAAATAAATGGCACTTTAAAGAGTCACACAGGGTGGGCGGGGGCTGGGATGGGGGTCGGGAGCGATGAATGAAGATCTGACACTTCACAGCCACTATTAAAATAGGCAAAGGCATTTAGATGGAAAAAGTGGTAGAACGTTGGAGAAAACCCTGCGAGGGGTCTGACTGGAAGGCCCTCGTCTCTGAAGACGTTACGCTTCAATGTGGACTAATTAAATCCACTTCAAAGCCCAGAAAGTTTATTCACAAATATTCTTTATGCGATAAACAATAGAAAAAAAACTACACTTGAGACAATAAAGCATAAATGTATTTATGAAAGTCAAAGCCAGGAGTTTTCAGTCTTTCAGACAGTTAGCTCTGAGCCCATTAATCATTGAGGACTCAGTCTTGTGTTGAATACTGCAGTATATAGAGACCTGGAGGCCGTTATGCCGCGGTATAAACTGGAAACACGGCTTCACTTACTTTGTACTGTTCTGTATTTTTAAATTAGATGTGACACATAGTGCCATGAAGCTTGCCAGCTTTGTGTCTCTGATAGAAATGCCTTTAGCTAGGACAAAACACCAGAGTATGCTCCTTTTTTTAAAGTTCTAACCTATGTGGACTTTTAAATTGACCCATATATGAAAATAAATTACATGAGACTTAATATTTAATCTCACGTATCTCTTTTCTTAAGGCTAGATGGTTTTTTTTTGTCTTTTTCTCCCGTCCTGGAGGAAACTGTGTCACGAATCACTCATATTTAGGCATTTTGCCATCGTACTTCTGATAGCTTTGACTCAAGATCAGCAAGAGCCGTGACAGGCTGAGAGTGAAGCTAAAGATGTTGTCCCTGACGTGTTTACACGCGGCGCACACACACACTCACTCCATCTTGTCTAAGTACACGTCTGGAAGCCGGGGAGAGCAGACGCACACACACACACTCTGATGCTAACAAACCATGTCACCCAGACATGTCACCACAATCATCATCACCTCAAGGTGTTTTTCTGTAGAGCGTAAATAGCGCTAAGCGTTTTGATTCTTTGTATATTTTATTAGTGTGTGTTTGTGTGCGCGTGTGTTGAGGGGGGGAGGGCGGTTCTTGAAATGAACCAAGAAAAACACATTATGTGTTCAAGAAAAAACATGAAAAAACATTTCACAAAGTGCTGAAGAATGAAAGGAAGCGAGTGTAGAGTAAAACCGAACAGAAACATAACAGGATGACAAAGATGGTGCTTGATGCCAACACTTGGAGCTCGAGGGCATAAAATGGAATGGTGGTTGAAGACCGTCTGTGTGTGTGTGTGTGTGTGTGTGTGTGTGTGTGTGTGTGTGTGTTGTTTAAAGGCATTTAAGCAGAAAATCATCATGTGTGACCACCCTCCTAAACAATCTGAAGAGAAGCGCAAAGTGTACATCCATTTTTTTTGCTAACCTTTTGTTTTTTAGCTTGTTTGTTTTGACGTTTAGCACCATCACTTTGTATCCCGTCAAGAAGTGACATCATCAGCTCTTTTTCTATAGCTGAGAATGTATCGTTTTGATTCTTTTGATCTTGAAAAAAAAGGACTAATTCCAGTAAAATGAAAATTTGTGTAACTTTGTCAGCTGCCCATATTTGTCAAGCAGTTTTCCTGGATTTCCAGTACAGATGGAAAAGGCTGCAGTGATGTGTCAAATTGACTTCAAAGGTTGTGCGTATTGTGGCAGATTCATCGCTTATGATAATTAATCTTACCCTTCGAGTTTCAGACCTGTCGCTCTTTCTGTTCAGTGTGGGCTGGCATCACCTCGTTTTATTTTGCTTTATTTTCCTCCCCTACTTGCTGTCAGTTTAAAATGCACACATGTATATGTTTGATGTCAAAAGTCTGTTTGTTAATATATTTATCGGTGACAGAAAATAAAACTCGTAGTCAAATACTTCTTTCCTATAAAGCTAACATCAAACCATCTTTATAGCTTTTGATGAGAAGACAAAAGCTTATAGGTTTTGTCTTCTCATCTCTTCATTTATCTGTTTTTATTTCTTTTTTTAATATATTTTGAACTCAACTCTTCCTCTGTCTTTTCCACCCACAGCTGCTTCCTGTCCCTGCTCCTGGTGGCCGCCGTAGTTTGGAAGATCAAACAGAGCTGCTGGGCGTCACGGCGGCGAGAGGTAAGCGTGTGACTCCATGCTTACAATTGATTTTAAGCTGCCACAGTCACATCAACTCATTTCTGGTTAAAGTTATTGCTGCTGTAAAAGTTGCTTTGTTTTGTGGACTTTCCAGTGGAATAAATATATCAAGTTCGTTTTTGTCCACAATCACAAAGAAGTGTGATTGCATTGATTCTGTCATGCACTATATTGCCAGAAGTATTCCCTCATCCGTCTTCACACACATAGAAACTTGAGGGACGTCCTGTTCTTAATCCATAGGGTTTTACTATGTCGGCCCAACCCAACTTGGAATTGCTTTCCATGTGGTTTAGAAGTGTGTTTATGGGAATTTCTGGACATTGTTCCAGAAGTGGATTTGTGAGGTCAGAAACTGATGATGGACTGGTTCGTGGTCTCCACTCTTGTGTTGGACTGAGGTCAGGATCCTCTAGAAACTATTCTAGAGGTTGTCAAACCACATCTGTATTGATATGCATACTGAGCTGTCAAAATTGATCATGAAGGATACAGGGGAGGTCGTCTTTATAGGGGAAAGAGTTAAAGCAACTTTCAGGCAACACTAAACTCTTGGCTCCTTCTGGTATTATCAATGTGCACACTAAGTCATTTGAATCACAACAGCCCTGCAACCATTAAGTGTTTGGTTGTTGTTAATGTATTGAGGCAGACATTCATCAGTGGTCTTTCATAAAGCAGCAGGTATTAGCAGTATTATGACTCCAGTATTTAGTCATGCTTGCCCCTGTCTCCTCAGGACGCAGAAATAACCAGGAGAGAATATTAAAAGGATCTTGGGTGTAATGCATTTTTAAACTTGACTTGTGTAGTCACTCATATTTCAATTAACCTTGGGTTTTATATCATTATAACATATAACATATCGTCACGTGTTGATTGCAATGGTCCTTTTTGTTTAAAGTAACTGCTAAGACTAACGAAAATGTGCAGTCATGCTGCAAGTTACAAGTCATTGCAAAGTCATCAGTGTCCTGTTAAGCAACAAGTAATCTCTACAGTTAGAAGGATGAAGTGAATACGTTTTCAAAATCATTGTTCAACATCAGACATATAAATAAACCTTCACTAGCTGGCTGAGGAAGAGTTGGATGGCTTACTAGTTAATTATCAGTAAGAATTCAGATTGCTTTTAACTTGTCACATCTCTCTCTGTAAGCTCGGTGTTTGCATGATTAAGACTCAACAAATGCTAAACTAACAGTTTGGCCTGACTAGCTGTTCAGACAGATTGCCAAGCATTGCATTTGCATGTGAAAAACTAACGCGATGTGAGAAGTATGAAAAGTCAGTGCAGTTTTTGCATGTTGAATACTGCCTCGCTGGGAAAATGACAAAATGCTTTTTCACGTGTGCTTCCAGAATGGTTTGGACCACCTTTTGAATCAGTGGCTGAAAGGTTGTGTACTGGTGGCACTGTGTTTCTGCATTTTATGTGCGTGTGTGTGAGTGCATATGTGTCAGTGTCTAAGAGCATACACGCTAATGTTGTGCTTAATGTGAACTTTTGGTCTGTGCTTTTTACACTCGTCGTGTCGGTTGAAGTGCCTTTTGCCTGTAACATCGTCCGAAAGTGCTGTAATCAGCCTCACCTATTGTGCCTCTTATCATCCCCCTTTTACCTGCACCCGCTCTGCCCTCTCTTCATCATAAAACCACAGTTGTCCATCTGGACGCTGTACACTCTAAACTTTACACAAAATTAAAAGTGGAACTTTGTTAAGAGGATTGGTGGCCACCTGAAAACTGTGGCCTGTGCTAAACTCCCCAACACATGAAAAAGCTTGTAGGTTTCACTAAAATGTCTCACTTTTGTAGAATACACCTGGGCTCATGTCAAAGTGATATACCTGCCTACACAGTAACCATCAATGTACACAATGAGGTTTTTAACATTTGTCTTATAATGGGAAGATAAAGGATCCAGAGCACTGTCAATGTGTTTACTCACAAAGTCAAATAAATCTGCAAGTGAGTGAAATAAAAGGTTATGCTGGGAAAAAATAGACCCCAGTGTCAACATGTGAAGTGCAAACAAGACTGGACCCGAAATTGAGCCTTGTGGCACACCCTAACTAAGAGGGACTATTTTGCATCCAAAGCATAACAGATCAGCTGTCAAATACGGTAGAGGCGATACATGCCTCGACCGTATTCCTTTTCGACGTTGGTTGTGTCAGATGATGCCCACAGGTCAGTTTTAGCTCTTTTTTTTTGTGTGCTGTAGCAGAATAAGCAGAGATGGCCATCGTGGTAATGCTTTGAATTAATCTGTTAATGAAACTGCAGTTATGTAAAAATGTGAAAATGCATAGCTGAAATATAAATTATAAATATAAAATAATTATTTATAGATATAATAAAAGATCGACTTTTTTTGTAATGAGTCGTGACTTGTGATTCAATACATGCAGGTTTTATCTAATGAAAGAAATTAGTCCCCATTCACTCAGATGAATACTTTAATAAATGTCAGATAACTGTCTGGTAATGTCACAAACATGACCTGTAGAAGAACTTTTTGTCATTTTTGTCTTTATGTAAGAATCTCAGTGTATCACGCCTCCTTTGTACTTCATCATCTGAATACATTTAAAAACCTTGAGCAACACTTATAAAAGCGCTCCCTTAATTTTGAACAGTGACAAGCTTTTAACTTTTTTTTAAACTTGTCCATAACTCTGAAAGAGCCATATGATGATGATGTAATTTGCCAGTCATCTATTCATGATAGGTTAACTGGATAAATTATGCCCTTTATACAGTACACATTTTTATTAAATGCCAGGTATTCTTATGTTCTTTTCTATTCATCTATATTAACAGTTAATCTAAAAAAATTTCTTTTTTTTAAACCACAGTTAAATAACCCTATTACAGATATTTTACCAATCAGTAGTTAATGGAAGATGGTAACACTATACATTTTATTCTTTTTTTCTTCCCAATTTTAGTTGCAATCTGAGCAAATGAAGCTTGGTCCTAGTGCTGGTTGTGAAGTCACATTTTGGTAAAATGCTGTGAGATGATACCCCGAGTATCATCTCACCCGAGTCATACATTCTTCTGTGAAGAATCTGCAGGAAAGATGAGCCAATTTATAAAGATAGTTGTTGTTGTCAGGCAGAATCACAAATTTAGCTATGACATCACTGGCTCAGCAGCCTTTTTATAAACCACTGTGGGGGAAAATCCCCCCCAAACATTAGTTATATAGTGAGCTCTTCCTAGCACAGATGTCAAGCACAGATGTCAAGCACAGATGTCAACTGAATTAGGATTGGGAAATGCTCAACAGGTTTGGGATCTAATACCCACCTCTCTACAAAACCACTCAGAATAGTAAGGATAGAAATGTCATTATTATTTATTTAAATTAAAAATGTTTGGACATGTTCTGTTCACTCATGGAGTTTATTTTATGCTGCTCATACACACACTCACCATCTCCTAAATTCTTGCCACTTATCTTCATCTAGTGTTCATAAGGAGTATTGTATAAACAAACCAAAGCTGACAAATTTCCATCAAATGTGACTTAATCTAGCAGCACAGGCAACCTGCTTTCACGCATGCTCAATGTGAACACAGCATGACACACAATTCACGCAAACAGAAAGCTAATCATGTTTTTCCACGAGGTCGACTGTCTCCGTTACAGCCGTTCGCTTCCTTGACATCGAGACCGTTCTGTTCTTTTCAGCACTGTCCCTCAAGGCTTGGCTTTCACATTTATCCTTGATTCCTCCATGTTACTTGGTGCTTGCATCAGCTGTACAGTGACACACATTTGCATCTAATTATGCCCACGTTCACCCCACTTAGGCCCGACGCAGTGGAAAGTGGTGGCCGTTGCATTTTATGTGGTCATTGCAGGGTCAGAGGAGTTTAAGCCGATGGCCTCGAGTCCTGTTATTTCCCACCGCTGGCTGCTTGTCATTTGACTTTAAGGAGTTTAAGCTCATTGTGCTGTCACAGGCATTGTAAGTCGCTCGGGATAACAGTGTTAGCGCGAACCCTATAATGCAAATGTCACTGTGAGACTTTTTTTTCCCCTTTCTTTTTAAAGATGTGGCTGTTTCAGGGATTGAAATCAGCTTTTTTAGAATGACATGTTTGTTGAGTGAAACTGACTTTGAAACATTACATTTATTCTTAAAAATGTGTTTGCTAAGAAGATTTTTATTAACCCCATCCAAAAACTTTAATAAAAAAAATGTATATTAGGAGATATTAATAGAGGTTATATATATAAAGGTTACAAAAATGGAACATTTTAGCAGAAACAGAGTATTTCTTTTTATTCTTTAGCATGACAAGCTATAATCTCGCAGTTCTCCAAAATTCAACTTTTTCATTTGGAAGGCATCCAAGTGTTAATTTGGTGCCAGGAGTATTAATGACTCGAGGACTGTGTCTGAAGTCGTTGTTACTGTAGGCGTAGGCTAACACCTGCTAAGAATGTCGGTTCCACCTGTTGGTCACTGCGTGTGGCTTGTTTGTGCACGTTTCAAAGTATTGCGATGGATTTCTTTCCTCATGTGTGTCTGCACCCTGCATCTGTTTGCATACATGTGCGTGCTTGCGGTGTGTGGTCTGTAGTGTCTGAATCGAAATCAAAGCCTTCCTTTGAGACCTGACAGTTCCTTTGAAGGAAGCTGGAGCTGCCAGATGGCATTAGATGGACCCCACCACAGCCGGTACCATAGCGGGCTCTGGCATTTTAGTCAGAATAAGCAGTGCTTGAGCAACGCTGTTAATGCAAGTTGATTATTCCTGTGGTAACGTTTTAGCAACAGCAGGACTTAAATGGCTGTAGTTCTAAATTGATTCTCACTTTTATCTTTTTGCGCTATGTCTATATTTACTGTCCTAAAGTTAATCGAAGCGACAGAGTGCTAAAATGAGAGTTACAGTTTTCTCTTTTGAGCGGCCAACAATTACAGCGTCACAGACACATTTCGGGCACAGCTTACGCA